TTACTCGCTGGTTCCGCTTAGGCTTCGCCACAGCTCGGCTACCACCCTGGGGGGGGATGATGGGCCAGGTGGTGAGGAGCTGCTCAGAGGAGCACGTTGGAGAGGGCCACTAGGACTCTAGGAGGAGGCTCCAGATGTTAAAGCATCTTCCACCCGGAACCCACACCCAAATTCCAGAGAAATAAGTGCCAACTGCAACAGAGCCAGTCCCAGAGATTAACCTGCCATCAGGACCACGCCTAGACCTGTCAGATCAGCGACAGGGAAACAGACCTGACATTACTATTATTAGTAGTATTAATATTACTATTAGTATTATTACTGTAGCCAATAAGCCAAAGGCTTATCTGCTTATCCCTACCACTCCTACTACTGGTCTCTAGTCCAGGGATGCCCCCTACAAAGAGTGGGCAGGAGAGTGGGGGGCGTGTGCTGACCTAAAATGGATTGGGGCCTCAGTAGAGGGGAGGAGACTCTGAGGCCCTGCTCTCTTAAGGCCTGCTGCTAAGGGACCAACTCCTGGGTCAAGCAGGAAGGGGGAAGGAAGCTGCATGGGACCTCAGGGAGGCAGGTGCGGCTAGGCAGGTTGGGTTACCGGTCCGGGGGCATTGAGCGAGGTAGCAGCGCACACACCACGTCCTGCGCATGCTCCAGGGCCAGTGCACTCAGCACCCGTAGGGCGGCCCTCCGAGGTCTCCCCTCTGCCAGGCTAGGCACCTGTGCCAGCAGCCCTCGCACCAGATTGTGCACCTGAATGGAGTGGCCAAATGTCAGTGGTCAGACCCCCTCGACCCTCAAGGGGACCTTCTCAACAGCATCCCACCCCACTGCCACCCTGCAGGAGCAGCCTTCACGGGTGTGGTCTGAGGCGACACTTTCCAACCTTCCACCTTGAAAGGAGGCTTGCAGGTTTCCCAGAGGGGGGAGGTGATGATGGTGGAATGCTGACCTGGTCCTCCAGTCGCTGACCCCAAGCCTCCAGGGTTGAGGACAACGTGAGTGCTGTAGCCTGGGTCCCGGCAAAGCCAGCTTCCTCCAGACAGGCAGCCGTGTACAGCATGAGGTCAGCAAGGGTCCCTTCCTCCCAGGAACCCGGGGGGACCTAGGGCAGGGACAGTGGAGTATATCAAGTCCCCAAGCCTCTCCCAGCTCTTTTCTCTGGTCCTCCAGATGCCCCATCCCTCTCAACTTGCTAAAAAGAACTTTGTTGTGGGTGGTCTCCATCCCCAGCTCCAGCACCCCATCCCTTAATACTCACCTGAGAGGCTGGCTCCTGAACACTATAGCAGTGTTCACTGCCAGCTCTGGGTGAAGCCACCTCAGTCCCAGGCTGGGCCTCAAAGGCAGTGGTGGGTGTTTGGGGATGGGTCTTATCCTCAGGTCCAAGCTTCAGGGGCTCAGCCTGAGGGCCTCGGGGAGGGGGTCCCACAGGCTGGTCCTGGCTGGCCCGGATTCCTTCAGCTAGCGCTGTCAGAGTCAGGGACCCCACAGGGCCTTCCCTGCCCCGGCCCCACACACCCCCAGCCATGATGCCTCCAGCAGCAACACCTGCCACTGCTCCTCCAGCAAAGTGTGTCCAGGCCTGACCTACAATTAGGCCCCGGGGGCGGGCCCACAGACAGGCGTGGTAGCGTGGGTATGTATACACAGGCCTGTGTGAGCTTGTGCCAGGGGTTGACTGGGGAAACAGAGGTATCCTGCCATGAGCTTTTGTCAAGTGCTCCTGCCCAGGCTGCTGGGGCCAGAGAAATGGCCGCCTTTAATCTGTGGTCCGCCTCTGCCCACCAGTGCCCTGGGAGATGATGGTGGGCTGAGGGGGGCGGGGCTAGCCCAACTCCTTGCCCCTCTTGCCTGGGGGAGAGGTCTAGGGCAGTTGTGGAGAGTCCTGAGGAGGCCCCAGCAGGGTCAGAGCCTGGGCTGGGCCCTGCATTCTCACCCTGTCAGACACCCTGGGAATGGGTATAGTTGGATACTGTCATTATCTCTGAACTTGGGGCACCCAGGTGTAGAGGAAATGAGGTAAGTGCCCACTGTTGTTGAGGAGGGCCCTTCTGTGTCCTGGACAGTTCTGAGGTGGAATGTCTCATCCCCTTGATGTCCTTCCATTCCTTAGCTTAGATTTCCCCCGACCCCATGAGTACCTAGGCAATGTGTGCTGCTGTATGCTGAGCCTGTATCTCTCCAGGGTTGACCTGACGAGGCCTCTGCCCTGAATCCCCACCCTCCACCCTCACCCAACCACACTAGGCACTGCCCAGCCCTGAGCCAGGGGAGCTGGAAGAGCTGGTCTGGTAGAATACCTGGGCAGGCAGAAGTGCACAGGAAACACAACAGTTGGCATTTACTCTGTCAGCCTGTGTACTGTCAGGCTGCCCAAGCCCCCATTCTGCCTCCTGCCAAGCCATGACTCCCCCTCCTGAGTAGCTCCTTGGAGCCTTGTCCAGCTTGCTGTGCCCAGCAGTGCTAGCCCCGGCTGAGCCAGCTCCTTGGGGCCTTAGCTTTGTCAGTACTCTCTCCGTTCCTCCTCCCTGGGGAAGGAGCTGAGGCCCCAAGGCTGGGTCATGTAGGACTGGCTTGGGAGGCTTGAGATGTCCACACTGACCAAGGACATTGCCCTTAGCAGGTATGCGAGCCCGGGACTATGCTTGGACTGACATCCCATCCCAACCTTGGAGAACCCCTACTCAGACCTGGTCCCCACAGTTCAACCCCATGGCAGCCTCCCCACAAGCTGGACTTGTGCCTCCCCATGTTCCTGACTCTAGCCCAGCCCTGGAAGTCCCTAGAGCCCAAGCAAGTGGCAGAGATTCGTGAACTAATGACACATCACAAGCTGGAGGAACAGTAAGTGATTCATGTTGTTTCTGGCAGTCCACTGTGCCTGTGATTCTTCTTCCTCCTCCTCCTCCTCCTCCACCTCCTCCCCCTCCGTTTTGTCACTTGTCTGTGATCAGGATTGGTATTACATTAGTAGTTATA